GAATAGAATTAGCAAGCATATAATATTAGTTCCTAATTAGGACTCCTGAATATATAAATAGGGGACTTAAGAGGCACCTAGAACCCCCCCACCACAATAATCCCTCACCACACAAGAAGTTCCAATAATTCCCCTAGGAGAAATCAAGAAAGAAGAAAGCTTCAAGAAAGACCCTTCATAGCCAAGGAATTAATTAAGGCTAAAAGGTAACCCATGTCTCAACAAAACCTATTTTCATAGCTATAATTCCCCTCTTAGGATTTCCCCATATTATTGTGTATTGATGATTTGTGATATTATTATTGATGATTGGTGGGATGATTCCATGGGTGATCTTGATGATGAGAGGTTCTTGATAATTATGGTGTTCCTGACGATTGTATAACGTTCTTGATAATTATATGGTGTTCTTGATGTTCTTAATGATTATATGAGGTTCTTGATAGTTATATGATATTCCTACCGAATCTTGATTTTGGAAGATGAATTGTGTTCTTGTTGATTTAAAAATAATTAGAACCCTAGGTTATATCGTGGAATTCGTATGGTATTATTCTTGGTATATTGGGTGGGAATTCGAATGATTGGGTGTTGATTATGTTTAGAAAAGCATGATAGGTTATGTGTCATATGTTTCTTGATTTTTGATCCGTTAATTGTCTACGCGTGTTATCAATTGCGTTTGAAAGTGTCTAAGCATAGCTTCGGGTTCCACAAAGGTTCCCGAGGTGTTTTTGGTGAAAAAGAGTCAGTGGGGGGTAGGTAGGGGTAGGGGACCCGCCACCTACCTGCGGCCTACTTGGGCAATGCCGGCAGCGGGCAGCCGGCGGGAGGGCAGCTGCCCGCCGGGCACCCGCTGCCCGGAACAGTGCCGCCGCTGGTTTGTACCCCACCTTGGGATTTTGGCTTCCCCGTTTGATGTTCCCCCGACCCCCGTGGTGTCCCAACGGACTCCGTCTATCGTGCCTATATCTAGTTTGATATTTCGGGTACCGTTCGTAGGTTGTATGAGTCTTATATATTGCATGCTAGTTGAATTGGTATCCCGTTGACCTAGGAGGAAGAAGTATGAACCCCTTAGGATTATTCTTAGTATGTGAAGGATCATGCATAGGTTTTGTTATACGTTTTCTCCCCCTTCCCAATGTGTTAATGTGGGTTGCATGTGCTTGCTATGTGTTATGTGTGCATGATACCCCAATTCGGTTGCGATCGGATTGGTTATTCCTGAACTACGGTTCAGAAGCTGGCTGCGGTCAGATTTACACTCTCGGGCTGCGGTCCACCGTTTGGTTGCGATCAAACGTTTCTACATGAGTTGTGGTTCATATTTCCTGGCTGCGGTCAGATGACGTACTCTTGGGCTGCGGGCTACTATTTGGTTGCGATCGAACTATGATGAGCTGCGGTTCATCGGTCGGTTGCGATCGACCCCTCCGTGTTGCGATACGGGGCAGGGTGCTGCGGGGCCGTGTCAGAGCTATATGCGTTGCCCCTCATGTATGGGCATGCGATTGGTCCTGTGGCGCCAACAAAGTGTGCTATGTGATGAGATATGGATGAGTTGTTGCTATGAGTACCTTGGGGATGTGACTATGGGATTTATACTGGGAATCGTATATGTCGGATTATAATTATTAATTGTGCTTATCTTACTTGTCTTGTCTGTTGTAAACTGTATATGCTTGGTATAATTGCTGTCTGTGCTTAACCCTATCTGTTGAGTCGATCCCTGTTTTAAAAGCTAGAGTCTCGTAGGATATATCTTGATGTTTCAAATTGGTTTTCGTATATCTATATATATGACTGTATGTACTGTATTTCAACGTGTTGGAGTGGGTTACCAGCATCTCTCGTTGAACAGATATATTTGGCTTTCAGGCACAGACGAGTAGATCATGGGAGCGCACTAGAAGCTTGGGGCGTAGATTAGATAGTGTTCCCTTTCGGCCTGCGTGCCATGACTTTGTATTGATACTGATTGAGGTTTTATTTAGGCTGTGCACCTGAGTTCTCTAGCTCGGGTGTGGCATAACACCCCGTACTCCTGTATCGTATTTTGGGATTTAGTGAGATTCTATCTCCATTATATAAGTTTTAAAAGTCTTAAAAATCTGGGGTGTTACAGTTGGTATCAGAGCCTAAGTTTGACCCTAGGATAAGACTATTTAGACAGACCATAGGACATAGACTTGAGCTCTAGGGACATAGGATTCAGGGATCCTAGGACGCGCGGTGAGATTGTGAAACCTACACATAACCTCCCCTCACATTATCCCTCCTCCATCTAAAGAGAACTTTTTCCCCCGCTTACCGCATCGAAAGAAAAACACCAAGCTCTAACTTAACGTTCTTATAAATATTGACCCAGAAGAACGACAGCATGGCGCCAAACAGAAGACAATCAAGAACTCCAGAACCCGCCACACACGACCCCCTGAACCAAACGCTACAACAACTAATGCAAGTCGCCCAGGCACTAAGCGACGTAGCTCATCGCAACAACAGGCCCTCGCCTCCTCCATCAAACACGAACTCAGACGTCGCCCGACAAGTTTCAAACCATCGACCACCCACGTTCTCAGGAGAAGAGGACCCCGTGATCCTGGAGGAATGGATCCGGACCCTCGACAAAATTCTCGGGTTAGTGGAATGCCTAGAAGAACGTCGCGTGGAGATAGCCTCGTTTTACTTCGGACACGAGGCCGATCTTTGGTGGATCCACGAGGGTCCCGCTTACCAACAAGAACCAGGGTTCAATTGGGAAAACCTCAAAACACGACTACGAGAACGATTCTACCCAACACATGTAAAGGCATCCATGTACGAAGAGTTCCTCCATCTAAAGCAAGGGACAGCCACCGTCATGGAATACCACAAGCGATTCCTCGAACTAGCGCGCTTCGCACCAGAGCTAGTCCCCACTGAAGTAACCAAGATAGAAAGTTTCGTCTCGGGCCTCAACTTCGAAGCCCGGAAAGCAATAGTGGTAAGCAGACCTCGGACACTCAACGAGGCTTACTCCAGTGCCGCCAATCTCTATCGAATCCAACTACTCCAGCGCGGTGTTCAGGAACAGATACGAAAAAGGAACACCGGAGGGGGAGCACCACCGGTAAAAAGAACGAGGAACGACACCAACACAAGACCAAGCAACTTGACCAACCAAAGGCCGTCCCTAGGGAACAATGAAGCAAACCCAAGGAGCTTCCCTTGTCCAAAATGCAACAAAAGCCATAGAGGGAAAGATTGCATGGGCAATCCCTGGCGATGCTTCAACTGCGGAGAAGAAGGGCACAATGCCTTCCAGTGCGTTCAACCCCAAAGGCCACGCCCCACCACCACGGGTCAACACGGAGGCACCACCCACAAAGGGAACTACGGCGCTCCCAGGAAAATATTCGTCATGAGCCGCACTCAAGCCGACCTCGGGAACGAGAGCAACCTCGAGGAGGGGAACCTAACCCCAGAAGACAAGGACCACGCAAACCCCGCGGGAGAAAATCAAGAAGACGAATTCTGTCTAGGATAAACCGACAATTCCTTGTAATCACCTTCATAGTAAAACTACTTATTTAGCGATTACTTCGGAATTTTATAAATAAAAAATTCAATTAAAATTCGATCCTGCTTATAAAGATGAAACCACAAATTATATAACAAGCCAAGCCTCCCATCATTAGAAGACAAAAGAGGGAAAAAGACAGGGACCACACCATCAAGAAAAGCCGAGTTTTACCAATAGGAATTGAACCCTTCACTACAAGAAAAATCGTGAATCGCGACGGAAACTATTTCGTCGCAATTTAACGACTGATATTGTGACGGAATAGTTTCCGTTGCAAATTAACGACGGATTTCGCGACGGAAATTAATTTCGTCGCGAGTTTTGGCGCAAAGAGAAAATAAAACCCGCGAAATATTGGCGGAAAAATATTCACAACGAAATTTGCGACGGATATAAGTTACGTCGTCTATTTAGCGACGGAAAAAACGGCGGATTTACTTTCCATCGCGAAAGGATGAAATCTTTTTGTAAATGAATAAATATTGCGACGGAATTAACGATGGAAATTATTCCGTCGCAATTGTGTTTTTTATTTTTTGTTTCGAAACGGCCGTGCTTTTGTTTTTCTTAGTAATTATAATTATATGAACATTAAGGCAATCCCTTCATTTAGGGTTTGCTTCTTTCTCTTCATCAAATGAATTTTTGTCTCCAGCCTGTAGTGAGCCGCAGCCACCACCACCTCCGTAACCTACTAACCTCCGTAGCCGCCGTCGTAGCTTCCACCTTCGTAACTTTGTCCTCGCAGCCACCACCTCAATAGCCATAAGCAATGTAGCTGCCTCCATAGCAGATTAGCAGCCATGACCTCAACCTCAAGACTGCCATAGCTACCGAACGACAGCTCAAACTCCGATCCACAGCCTCTCCCTCATATCCTCGCTGCCGTAGCCACCGTCGCCACCATCGCCGCCGTAGCCACCGTCGCCGCCTCCAGGCTCCAACGATTGTACGTATGTACCTCTCTCTTTTGCAGATACCATATTGTAAATTTCACTGTTATTTTTTTTCTTCATAAATTTGTATTAGGTTATCCAATAAGCTAGCCACCAAGTTCCTCTTTCTTTTTCCTTAATTTGTGTTGCAATATGTTCTGTTTACTGGTATGATTTGAGTGATTCAAGATGGTGAAATGGGTGTATTATGATACCGGGTCTTAGGCGAAGTGTGACACACTTTTGTTTTAACATGGGTGTATTATGATATTGGGTGTTGTTCTAAGGATGTTGTGGAGGTTTCTTTGTGGATACACTAACAATGATTTTTTTAAGGTTTAAAGTTTTCCTAATAAACAGTGATTGAAATTCTAAGTTAATGTTTACTGCACACCAATATCCTGTGGTAAGAACTCAATAATAGTTTATTTTCTTGCTTCTCTCATGTAAACGGAATAAGGTGGGGAGTGTTAAAGAGAAATTAGCAAAATTATTTGAAGAATCTCTTAGAGCAGAGTTTCCTGATGAATTGGATGTACAACCAATGATGGCTATTTGCAACAATCCCAAATTTGGAGACTATCAATGGTATGGTTTACATTCTTATTTCATTATAGGTTTCCTGTCTTTTATCTTTTATATTGAAAAGAATACATGCATTTGAAGTTTTAGTGCCAGTTGAGAGTTGAACTATGTTCTCTCTTAGTGCTTGGGGTGTTTTATGCTATTTATATTCTACAATTTCTGATTAAGCAAGTATTATTTTTAGTAGTAACAATGCCATGAGCTTATGGGATAAAATTAAAGGGAAGGGTACTCAGTTCAAGGGTCCTCAACCTGTTGGACAGGTAATGGCATTGATTTTTGTTGTGCTTGGTACATCACAATTCTGTTTCAACCAACACAGTGGACATCAATATGCTTAGACAATCAAATGGTTTCTCATTTTCAGGCTATTATGAACAATCTTCCTCCATAAGAGAATATGATTTTAAATTCTGTTTCTATTCTATTTGAAATTAATTCTGAGTTTTAATATGGTTTTGTAGTTTGGTATGCTAATTGAATACCTTTTTGAAAAATTTCCAAACTGGGAAGCCGCTAGTCCTCATGCTATTGGAGATTTAGAGGTAAGTGTTGATACTTTGGTTAGTTTGTTTCGTTTCTAGCTGATTGACTATGATTTATAATGCCGGAAATTTATAATGCCGTAAACTTCCCTTATTGATTTGATAGATCTGATAAGACTTTCAAACCATATTTTTGAATACACAAAAATGAACTGAAGATTTCTACTGTCCCAAATAAGATCTTAAGCCACTGAATTTGGTCCTATTTTTTTTTTTTGTTTTTTCTTTTAATAAAGTTCATTAGCTAAGATCTTATGTATATTACCATATTTCTTGTAACTATTTAACATCACAATCAAGATTCCAGCTTTGCTTACATATGTACATCCAGATCCGATAATTATCAGTATATTTAATGAGCACGGCATTAATCAAAGAAAAATGATAGTGATCCTTTAACCACATTAGTTCATCCTTTTTAGGAATTTTATAAGGCTTTAAAAACAAAGATTTGATAGTGATCCTGATTTCAAGGAGAGGGCACAAAATGTTGTAGCTAGTCTTCAGGTGAACTTTTTACTTATTTTAAGCAGTTGAATAGTCTAAACTCAACAGATACATCATATTATTGAAAGAGCTTGGCAGCTTGTAGAAACTGCTTAATAAGCATTTCTTTCTCCCAACAGAGAAGGAACTCTCTTAGTAGAGAGTTATTTTAGGCAGATGGTTTCTGTATTTTTCATAAGTGTGACCACACAAGTCAACTTGTTATTCTTTTATTAATTGAAAGATTATTTCAACTTTCCTACTATGCAGTTAGAGATTTATTTTGGTAATGGTTCTTGTGTTGCATTCTTTCTTTGTAAATAGGGCGGGGAGGAGAAGTACACAAAAGCATGGTCACAGATTTGTGAAATTAGTCGAAGTCTCGAAGAGAATTTGGAAAGAAGGTTTATCAACGACTTGGTGTACATTTGCCTAAGTTCAAAGGGTTAACTACTACAGTGCCTGCTAGGCTGCTACATAGCATAAGAGCATTGGATATTGTTTTTTTAGTTTACTATTTGTTGGTTATATGTGGTAGATTTTCATTTACATGTATAGCGAGTTGTTGTTCAGACTTTAATTGATTATTATTAGTTAATAAAATGTGGATTGGTGATACTAAATGTTGATTGATAATATTTTAGAATTAATTGTGTTTTAGTATGTTATTGTAGTTTTATATTAATATTTTAAAAGTTTATATACTATTTAAAAATAATAATTATACATAATTTTTTTTAAAAATAATTTTTAAAAAATGTGACAAAATTGCGATAGAATATAAGTTTTACGACGGAATTACGACGGGAAAAAAATATGGCGATGGACTATTTGTTTTTAAAATGGCGACAAAAAAGAATAATTTCCGTTGTCAAAATGCAACGGAATTGCGACGGAATTGTTCCGTCGCAAATTTGCGACGCCTCATTCCGTTGCCAATTCCGTCGCCATATTTTGCGACGGAATTATTCCGTCGCGTATAAAAATACGACAAGCTGATAGACGACGGAACAGATTCCGTCGCAAAACGTGATTCGCGACGGAATTTTGCTGTTTCGCGACGAAATTTTTCCGTCGCGATTCGCGATTTTTCTTGTAGTGCTTGACCTCCCATATACAAAGCAAAGGTCTTGACCACTAGGCTAGGAGTGTTTCTTGAAACCTCAAGGGAACACTTTCTTCTTAAAGCCCTACAAGTCCCTAAACCCACAAAAATCCCCAAATCAAAAACCCTTCTTCTTTTTCTTCTTCTTCCACACCCTCTCTCTCTCCCCTCTTCTACCTCTCACCCCCGCCGACCCAACAACACCCAGCAACCACCACCCACCCGTCGCCGTTACCAGCCGAACCACCGCCGGCCGTCCAAGTAACGCATCACCGCACACCACCGTCGCTACCCGGAGGCAACCCGCGACGCCGTCACCATCCGCCACCCACCCGGACGAACCCCGCTGCCACACACCTCGCTATTGCCGGTTCCACCCAAAACCACCACCACCGCGCCGAGCCACCGCCGAAGCCAAGTCCGCCGCCGCCGCGTCGCCAGAAACCCGCACCACCTCTTCGCCGGAGAACTCGCCGGAAAACGCCGCCTAGCCGAAAACCAAGATGCCAAAGAAGCCCCTTGGAACCCGTACCCCGAAATGGAGCAACGCCGATTATACCGTAATCGGAGGTAAAGCCCTTGAACCCGACCAATTTTCTCCGGAATTGGTTGATATGCTTAATCACCAAGGGCTTTTGGATACGTATCTCGCCATCAAGGGGGATACGTACCCCAAATTGGTGAAAGAATTCTATCAACATCTTGTAGCCACCAAACGGGGTGATAAGCTAGAAATCACCACCAAGGTCCGCGGCAAGAAAATCATACTCTCCGAAGGCCGTTTGGCCAAGCTTTTGAAATTGACCAGCACAGGTGTGTCAAGCTATGACCGAAAGGGGTGGATTGATACCCAAAACACGGGGTACAAAGACTACCTTGGGTACCTACTCGGGAAAGAGGAAGGATTCACCTCGGCCACACGACCAAATAGAAAGTGGCTATCAGCGGAATAAAAGATATTGGTTATGATTGTAACGATAGCCTCCTGCCTACGAACAATAAAAGCAAGGACGCGGGGAGTTTAGAGTGCACCTTTGCCTACTTCTTGAAACACAAAATCAAGTTCAACCTGCCGGCCCTCATGCTAAAACACATGGAGTTTTGCAAATCAAGCAACCGGCTTAGCCTACCCTACGGGATGATCCTAAGTTGGATCATGGAGAAAAAGGGGGTAGACCTAAGCCACACCGAGGTCAAGATCGCAAATGGCATGGTCTTTAATGCCCAGAACCTACGCCGCAATGATATCTACTACACCGAGGGAGGACATTACCTCACCCTCGAAGAAGTTTGCCAAAAACCCGAGGATGAACGAAGAGAATTGGTCGACCAATTAGACATCTCCAACAAGAAGCATAAACGGGCAATGCAAGATTGCGGAATCTTGGAGGGAAATGAGGACAAAGAGGAGGATGACGAACCCAACCCGTCGGTGCAACCACGATCAGGAGGGAACCCAAGGGAGCAAAACGAGGGCTCAATCAATGAACGCATACTCGCACAGCTCAACCGGAAAAACCAAATCATGGAGGAAGGGTTCTCATCCTTGATCCGTACGACACGCGCACTAGATCAGAGGGTGGCAGCAATCAAGGCCACCTTGGGCACTCGCGGGGCGTCCAGCTCAGAAGCAGGAGACCGAGGTAGACCCAAAACCCTTCTATCACAAAACCACCAGGAATCCAGTCTACCCCAGCTAAGGCAAAATGTGGGGCCACATTCCTAACCGGGAGGCCAAGATGCGGGATGCCTTGGGGGGAAGGAATGGATTAACACACCGGGCTTCGGGGACGAAGCCCCTCGTAAGGGGGGGAGAGTGTAACACCCCGTGTTATGATCCCTAAAACCAATTAATCATTTAACCAATTACCCAAAAGAAAGAATTAAATCACAATAATTAATTAGGAAAGGCCCACCATAGTCGATGGGCTGTTATCCCTAAACCCAATCCTTAGTCCCAAAAGGAATAGAATTAGCAAGCCTATAATATTAGTTCCTAATTAGGACTCCTGAATATATAAATAGGGGACTTAAGAGGCACCTAGAACCCCCCCCCACCACAATAATCCCTCACCACACAAGAAGTTCCAAGAATTCCCCTAGGAGAAACCAAGAAAGAAGAAAGCTTCAAGAAAGACCCTTCATAACCAAGGAATTAATTAAGGCTAAAAGGTAACCCATGTCTCAACAAAACCTATTTTCATAGCTATAATTCCCCTCTTAGGATTTCCCCATATTATTGTGTATTGATGATTTGCGATATTATTATTGATGATTGGTGGGATAATTCCATGGGTAATCTTGATGATGAGAGGTTCTTGATAATTATGGTGTTCATGACGATTGTATAACGTTCTTGATAATTATATGGTGTTCTTGATGTTCTTAATGATTATATGAGGTTCTTGATAGTTATATGATATTCCTACCGAATCTTGATTTTGGAAGATGAATTGTGTTCTTGTTGATTTAAAAATAATTAGAACCCTAGGTTATATCGTGGAATTCGTATGGTATTATTCTTGGTATATTGGGTTGGAATTCGCATGATTGGGTGTTGATTATGTTTAGAAAAGCATGATAGGTTATGTGCCATATGTTTCTTGATTTTTGATCCGTTAAGTGTCTACGTGTGTTATCAATTGCGTTTGAAAGTGTCTAAGCATGGCTTCGGGTTCCACAAAGGTTCCCAGGGCATTTTTGGTGAAAAAGAGTCAGTGGGGGGTAGGTGGGGATAGGGGACCCGCCACCTACCCGCGGCCTACTTGGGCAACGCCGGCAACGGGCAGCCGTTGCCCGGAACATTGCCGCCGGCGGGCAGCCGGCGGGTGACCCCTCACCCACCGGCTACCCACTGGTTTGTAGCCCACCTTGGGATTTTGGCTTCCCCGTTTGATGTTTCCCCGACCCCCGTGGTGTCCCAACGGACTCCGTCTATCATGCATATGTCTAGTTTGATATTTCGGGTACCGTTCGTAGGTTGTATGAGTCTTATATATTGCATGCCAGATGAATTGGTATCCCGTTGACCTAGGTGGAAGAAGTATGAACCCCTTTGGATTATTCTTAGTATGTGAAGGATCACGCATAGGTTTTGTTATACGTTTTCTCCCCCTTCCCAATGTGTTAATGTGGGTTGCATGTGCTTGCTATGTGTTATCTGTGTATGATACCCCAATTCGGTTGCGATCGGATTGGTTATTCCTGAGCTGCGGTTCAAAAGCTGGCTGCGGTCAGATTACACTCTTGGGCTGCGGTC